TGGGATAGACATTGTGGGTCGTTGGTGATGGCCAAGAACTGGTCTGAGGGATCCATGATGAGATGATTCCAGTAGGGACCAACAGCCAAGAGGGACAAGTTGGGACCAGGCCAAGAGGGACAAGTTGGTTTCTGGGGACACGTCAATGGAGGTGGCGAAGGTCTGGGTTGGGGGACAGCCAATGGGGCAGCCAAGGGGGCACAGATGGAGAGGACTTGGACATGGAGGGGATGAGCTGGGGGGACTCATCCATATCCATGTCCATGTCTGTATCCATATGTCCATATCCATGTCCATGTCCATATCCACGTGTCCATACCCACGTCCATGTCCATATCCACGTGTCCATATCCCTGTCCATGTCCGCATCCATGTGTCCATATCCATGTCCATGTCCATATCCACGTGTCCATATCCCTGTCCATGTCCGCATCCATGTGTCCATATCCATGTCCATGTCCATATCCATGTGTCCATATCCATGTCCATGTCCATATCCATGTGTCCATATCCATGTCCATGTCCATATCCATGTGTCCATGTCTGTGTCTACGTCCATATCCATGTGTCCATATCCATGTCCATGTCCGTATCCATGTGTCCATATCCATGTCCATGTCCATATCCATGTGTCCATGTCTGTGTCCATGTGTCCATATCCCTGTCCATGTCTGCATCCATGTGTCCATATCCATGTCCATGTCCATATCCATGTGTCCATATCCATGTCCATGTCCATATCCATGTGTCCATACCCACATCCATGTCCATATCCATGTGTCCATACCCATGTCCATGTCCGTATCCATGTGTCCATGTCCACGTCCATGTCCATATCCATGTGTCCATATCCATGTCCATGTCCATATCCATGTGTCCATGTCTGTGTCCATGTCCATATCCATGTGTCCATATCCATGTCCATGTCCATATCCATGTGTCCATGTCTGTGTCTATGTCCATATCCATGTGTCCATATCCATGTCCATGTCCATATCCATGTGTCCATACCCATGTCCATGTCCGTATCCATGTGTCCATGTCTGTGTCCATGACCGTATCCATGTGTCCATATCCACATCCATGTCCATATCCATGTGTCCATATCCATGTCCATGACCGTATCCATGTGTCCATGTCTGTGTCCATGACCGTATCCATGTGTCCATACCCATGTCCATGTCCATATCCATGTCCATACCCACGTCCATGTCCGTATCCATGTGTCCATGTCCACGTCCATGTCCGTATCCATGTGTCCATGTCTGTGTCCATGTGTCCATATCCCTGTCCATGTCGGTATCCATGTGTCCATGTCTGTGTCCATGTCCATCTCCAGGGGCCGTGCGCAGCTTTGGCTCAGCCAAGGCTCGCTACGACTTCAGCGCCCGGGACCGGACGGAGCTGACGCTGCGGGAGGGGGACATCGTGCGGGTGCTGAGCAAGAAGGGGCACCCAGGGTGGTGGAAAGGGGAGGTCTACGGACGGGTACGGCCCCGGCCCCACCGCTGCCCCACAGTGGCCATCAGCATCCTCCAACCTCCATCAGCACCCTCCAACCTCTATCTGCATCCTCCCACCTCCATCCACATTCCCCAACCTCTTCCCACCTTCTCCCAACCTCTTCCCACCTCCTCCCAACCTCTTCCCACCTTCTCCCAACCTCTTCCCACCTTCTCCCAACTTCATCCCGCCTTCTCCCAACCTCTTCCCACCTTCTGCCAACCTCTTCCCACCTTCTCCCAGCCTCTTCCCACCTTCTCCCAACCTCTTCCCACCTCCTCCCAACCTCTTCCCACCTTCTCCCAACCTCTTCCCACCTTCTCCCAACTTCATCCCGCCTTCTCCCAACCTCTTCCCACCTTCTCCCAACCTCTTCCCACCTCCTCCCAACCTCTTCCCACCTTCTCCCAACCTCTTCCCACCTTCTCCCAACTTCATCCCGCCTTCTCCCAACCTCTTCCCACCTTCTGCCAACCTCTTCCCACCTTCTCCCAGCCTCTTCCCACCTTCTCCCAACCTCTTCCCACCTCCTCCCAACCTCTTCCCACCTTCTCCCAACCTCTTCCCACCTTCTCCCAACTTCATCCCGCCTTCTCCCAACCTCTTCCCACCTTCTCCCAACCTCTTCCCACCTTCTCCCAACTTCATCCCGCCTTCTCCCAACCTCTTCCCACCTTCTGCCAACCTCTTCCCACCTTCTCCCAGCCTCTTCCCACCTTCTCCCAACCTCTTCCCACCTCCTCCCAACCTCTTCCCACCTTCTCCCAACCTCTTCCCACCTTCTCCCAACTTCATCCCGCCTTCTCCCAACCTCTTCCCACCTTCTGCCAACCTCTTCCCACCTTCTCCCAACAGCTTCGCACCTTCTCCCAACATCTTCCCACCTTCTCCCAACAGCTTTGCACCTTCTCCCAACATCTTCCCAACCGCTTCCCTCCTCTTTCCACCTTCTGACAACCTCTTCCCACCTTCTCCCAACCTCTTCCCAACCTCTTCCCACCTCTTCCCAACCCTTTCCCACCTTTTCCCAACCTCCTCCCACCTTCTGACAACCTCTTCCCACCTTCTCCCAGCCTCTTCCCACCTCTTCCCAACCTCTTCCCACCTTTTCTCAACCTCTTCCCACCTCCTCCCAACCTCTTTCCACCTTCTCCCAACCTCTTCCCACCTTCTCCCAACCTCTTCCCCCCTTCTCCCAACCTCTTCCCACCTCCTCCCAACCTCATCCCACCTCCTCCCAACCTCTTCCCACCTTCTCCAGCCTCTTCCCACCTTCTCCCAACCTTTTCCCACCTTCCCAACATCTTCCCACCTTCTCCCAACCTCTTCCCACCTTCTCCCAACCTCTTCCCACCTCTTCCCAACCTCCTCCCAACCCTTTCCCACCTCTTCCCGACCTCTTCCCACCTTCTCCAACCTCTTCCCACCTTCTCCCAACCTCTTCCCACCTTCTGACAAACACTTCCCACCTTTTCCCAACCTGTTCCCACCTTCTCCAACCTCTTCCCCCCTTCTCCCAAACTCTTCCCACCTCCTCCCAACCTCTTCCCCCCTTCTCCCAACCTCTTCCCACCTCCTCCCAACCCTTTTCCCAACATCTCCCTCTTTCCCAGGTCGGATGGTTCCCAGCCAACTACGTGGAAGAGGATTACTCGGAATACTGCTGACCATGTATGGATCCTCACCCATCACACCCCACCTCCTATGGCCCCACCACTGTCCCCATGTTAACTTATGCCTCCTCCTGCCCTGGAGGGACAATAAACAGGGATCAGATCCCATGGGAAGAGGCCGGGATGAGGCCATGGGATTGGGATCGATCTTTCCTGGAAGGGACCCAATGCCCGGGCAGGCGCCGAGGTCAAGGCTGGAGCGGTTGGAGCCGCTGGGAATAAGCTTGGGAATGAGGCCATGGAAGGGGGGAAAGGCTCCAGAAAGGGACATGGATGTGGGGGCCCATCCCTGCGGCTCCATGCAATGAACTGCCCCGGTCTCAGCACACAACAGGGGGGATTGGGGTCTTGAGACCCAAAAAGGGGGGGTTGAGACCCAAAAATGGGGGCTTTGTGACCCAAAATAAGGGGTTGAGACCAAAAAAAGGGCAGTTTGAGACCCAAAAAAGGGGGGTTGAGACCCAAAAGGGGGTTTGAGACCCCAAAAAGGGGATTTGAGACCCAAAATGGGCATCTTGAGCTCCTAAAAGGGGTGTTTTAGACCCAGGAAAGGGGTTGAGACCCAGAATAGGGGGTTGAGACCGAAAAATGAGGTTGAAAACCCAAAAAGGGGAGGTTGAGACCCAAAAATGGGGGGGGGGGGGTAGACCCAGATTGTGGTTTGACACCCCAAATTTGGTGTTCAGACCCCAAAATGGGGGTTTTAGACCCAAAAAAGGGGAGTTTGAGACCCAAAAATTGGAATTGAGAACCAAAAGGGGGTGTTGAGTCCCAAAAATGGGGTTTTGAGACCCAGAAGAGGGGCTTTTAGCCCCCGAAATCGGGATTGAGACCCAAAAAGGCGAGTTTGAGACCCAAAATGGAGGGTTGAGACCCAAAAATGAGGGGTTGAGACCCCAAAAAGAAGGAGTTTAGCCCCCAGAAGGGGGTCTGAGTCCCCCAAAAGGGGTTCTGCATTCTCCTATGAGCAGTTGCACCCCAAAAGGACCCATATCCAATGGTTTTCCAGCACATCCCACCCATTTCCTGCCTCTTTCTGGCAGACTCATTCCACTTCCCAGTGCCTTCCAGTCCCGCCCCAGTGCTGAGCAGGGGGCAGCCCCATTTCCCTGCTGAAAAAGCATCTTTTGGTTAAATGACCATTTTTAGGGCCTCGTCCAGTTCAAACCAGCCCAAAGTGGCCTAAAACTGGTTCCGTTTTCAGCCGTGGGGCTTTGTTTGGATCCGTTTTCCAGGGAATTGCTCAAATTCCCTCATTTTCAGGGTTAATGTTCAACCCGGGCAGGGAATTCCATTGCCAGGAATGAACCCATCCTGATGGAATTGCCTCAAAACAGGGATTTTTTAGCTGAAAACAAGAACTAACATCCCGGCAGGGTTTGAACAGGATTCCTGCAATTCCATAGGTCCTGGGGGACACAAAAAACATGGAATGGCATGCGCTGGATTCCTTGGATTAAAAAAAAAAAGGTTTATTTGGGGATCTTGTGCTGGATAATAGAGGAAAATTGGGAAGGGGGGGGGGAGCTGGAAACAGAGAGGAAAGGATAAATAAGGGAAAAGGTACGTGGAAAGTGGGAAAAACCCTAGGATTTTACTGAAATGCTGTTTTCTGGGAATGAGGAAGCAGCCCCACCGGGAACAGGATGGATCTGGGGCTGGGGAATGGGATTTAACCATCTGAGAGTCATTTTAGCTGAAAATCCCATTTTTTCCCTATGGATTACAGTCAGGTTGGGAGCTTGAGGGTCAATGGGGTTGTGCTGGGTTTCCTTTAGGGATCGAACGTCAGGAGCAGGCAAAAAGTGGGAATGTGGAGCCTCCCGAGGCACAAAATCCATCCAGCTCCAGTGCGGAATGTACCTTTTGTCCTGGAAAATGGTCTGGGAATGGGGGGAAAGTCAGCAATTCCAGGACTTCTCACAAATCCAGCGGCTGGAATGGGAGCACCTCTCGGCATTCCAGATGCCGTCGGGCCCGATGGTGCCGCAGTCCTTCTGGTCTTTGTCTTTGCTCTCCTTCCATGTGTTCCAGTAGCTGGAGCAAGGAAAAGGGGAAAGGAAGATCCCAAGGGAAAGAAAAGCAGCCCCACGGCAGCGGAATTCCCTCTGGAAGAGGGAATTGCCCTCAAAAGGAGGGAAAACACCACCAAAAAGCCCATTTTTTTGTTAAACACCAGCAAGAAGATGCTCCCAAAACACCGTTTTCCCAGTGGAAAGTCTTTGACTTCCATAAAACCACCAAAACCCCCAAGTTTTTGTGGCTCAGTTTCCCCTTTTCCCAATTACCAGAGGGAATTCTTACCTGATACTTGGACGTTCGCCATTGGTCCAGAGCCAGGTGCCTTCCTCCTGCTGATCCGTCACTCCCAACCAGTACGTGGTGCTGGTGTTGATGTTGTCCTTCAGGAAGTTCTAGAAGAGCAGAATTGGTTCAAATAGCCCCAAATCCCCAAGAATTCCAATGGATTATGAGGCATCCTAAGGGTTGGGTCACCAAGATGAGGCCAGCACCAGGATTTGGGGTAAATAATGTGTATTTAGGTGGATTTGGGAAGGAACCATTGAGCTTTTTGCTCCATTTTTAGCATTTTTTTCCCTAAAAGCAGGAATTTGGAAGTGGCTGGGCTCAACTTGGCCATTGGGGCTTCTCCCCACCTCAAGTAACATCAAGGAACATCAACTAGCATCAGGTAACATCAAGTTACATCAAGTTGCACCAATTACATCAAGGAACATGAAGGAACATCAAGTAACATCAAGGAACATGAAGGGACATGACGATACATCAACTAAGAGCAACTTACATCAAGTGACACCAAGCAACATCAAGTTACATCAAGTGACATGAAGGAACATGAAGATACATCAAGTAAGATGAAGGAACATGAAAATACATCAAGTAACATGAAGGAACATCAAGTTACATCAAGGAACATGAAGGAACATGACGATATATCAAGTAAGAGCAAGTTACATCAAGCGTCACCACGTAACATCAAGTTACATGAAGATAGATCAAGGAACATCAAGGAACGTGAAGATACACCAAGTTACATGAAGGAACGTGAAAGAACATGAGGATACATCAAATAACATCAAGTTAGATGAAAGAACATGAAGGAACATCAGGTTACATCAAGTAACTCCAAGCTTGATGGCCAATCTTGCTGAATTTGAGCCCAAAACAGGGTTTGGACTTCCCGTGACGGGAGCTCTCCAAGGAAAGGGGGATTTAAGCCCCGGAAGGGGTCATTTCCCACCGACCTGCTCCATCTCCGAGTTGATGAAGACCAAATGAGCCCCTTGCTCGGCGCATGTCTTGTTCGCGTCCCACCAGCTCATGGGCTTCGTTGAGAAGGAATAGCAGCTCTGCTCGAAGATCCTCCAGCCGGCCCAGCACTTCCGGTTGTCCTGCACGGATCTGCAGATCAACGCTGGCAAAAGGAAGAAAACCCCCAAACCCACCCCAAAATCAGGCTTTGTGCTCATCAACAGCATCCCCATTGAGGTCATGCCTCAAAATGGGTCTAAGCCACCCAACTTCTCCATTCCCAAGAGGTTCCTCTTGGATCTTGGGTGGATTGGAGACACCGTTGGGATGGGAATACCGAGTTACCCGCGATGTCCTGCAGCTCCTCGTAGTAGTTGTGCATCCTGCTCCGCATCCGTGTCTGCTCCCGTTGTGTCTCCGACAGCTCCTGCCACACTGGGATGCGCCTTTGGGTGAGGGACCAGCACCAGCCTCATCCCCCCCCCCAGCTTCCTCCTTCATACCCCCTTTGGTTTACTGGAATCCCAAGCTTTTTCCCAAAGGATTCAGGCTTTTCCCACAGGTGGAAAACACGAGTAGGGATGGGAAAGCTCTTCCATGGTGGGTTTTGACTCTTTGGGTGATGCTTGGCTGCAATATCCCCCATAATATCACTGAATTCATGATGTTCAAGGATTGGATTTGATTTTTGAGGAATTTCCCATAGGATTTGTGTCCTTCCCTTCCCATAGCCTTTAACAGAGAGAACAGACCCTAATGAGGATAAATCCCAAGGGATAATTTGCTCCTATTCACACCCATTGGGTCTAATTCCTTCAGGATGGGGGCATGAGCTCAGTTGGTGTCTGACCTACTCCATTACTCCAATGTCATTCCCTGTGGGAATCAACTCAATGCTGCTTCACTAAGAGACGGAGCAGACCCAGGGGCTGCTTGGAAAGGCAACACCGAGGTGCGTGGTGGGATAGGGATGGGATCCAGAGGGATCAAGGATGGGCTGGAGAGGTTGGACCCTCATGGAGCTCAACAAGATCTTGCCCATTGGTTGGGGCAATCCCAACCTTGAGGTCTACCTTGACCTCAGCAAAGCATTTGACACAGTCTCCCACAGCATCCTCACGGCTAAAATGAGGAAGTGTGGACTGGATGATCAGGTAGTGAGGTGGACTGCTAACTGGCTGAAGGAGAGAAGCCAGAGGGTTGTAGTCTATGGGGCTGAGTCTAGTTGGAGGCCTGTAACTAGTGGAGTGCCTCAAGGGTCAGTACTGGGACCGGTATTATTTAATATATTCATCAACGATTTAGATGAGGGAATTGAGTGTACTATCAGCAAGTTTGCTGATGACACTAAGCTGGGAGGAGTGGCTGACACGCCAGAAGGCTGTGCTGCCATCCAGCGAGACCTGGACAGGCTGGAGAGTTGGGCAGGGAATAACTTGATGAAATATAACAAGGGAAAGTGTAGAGTCCTGCATCTGGGCAGGAACAACCCCAGGTTCCAGTATAGGTTGGGGAACGACCTGTTAGAGAGCAGTGTAGGGGAGAGGGACCTGGGGGTCCTAGTGGACGACAGGATGACCATGAGCCAACACTGTGCCCTTGCGGCTAAGAAGGCCAATGGCATCCTGGGGTGTATTAGAAGGGGAGTGGTTAGTAGGTCGAGAGAGGTCCTCCTTCCCCTCTCCTCTGCCCTGGTGAGACCACATCTGGAATATTGTGTCCAGTTCTGGGCCCCTCAGTTCAAGAAGGACAGGGAGCTGCTGGAGAGAGTCCAGCGCAGGGCAACGAAGATGATTAAGGGAGTGGAGCATCTCCCTTATGAGGAAAGACTGAGGGAGCTGGGTCTCTGTAGTTTGGAGGAGAGGAGACTGAGGGGTGACCTTATTGGTGTCTATAAATATATAAAGGGGGAGTGTCACGAGGATGGAGCCAGGCTCTACTCGGTGGCAAACAATGATAGGACAAGGGGTAATGGGTACAAACTGGAACACAAGAGGTTCCACTTAAACTTGAGAAGAAACTTCTTCTCGGTGAGGGTGACGGAACACTGGAACAGGCTGCCCAGGGAGGTTGTGGAGTCTCCTTCCCTGGAGACATTCAAAACCCGCCTGGACACATTCCTGTGTAACATTATCTAGGTGTTCCTGCTCCGGCAGGGGGATTGGACTAGATGATCTTTCGAGGTCCCTTCCAATCTCTAACATACTGTGATACTGTGATACTGTGTAATCCCAAGGGAAAACAGGCTCGGAGCAACCTGGTCTAATGGAAGGTGTCCCGGCCCATGGCATTGGAATGAGATGATCTTTGAGGTCTATTCCAAACCAAATCATTCCAAGATCCCATGATCCAAACACCAAAGCATCTCCTGAGGACCCACCATTGGCTTCATTCTCTGAGTAGTTCGCCTTCAAGAGCTTCAGCTCAGCCGTGATTTCCATCTCTGGAATGAAAATGAAAGGAAAACCCCTCCTGGATCACCCCAAGGAAGGAGCGGTGCCTCTTTTCCCTCAACTTACAGCTTTCCTGGGAATTCCAGAGTGGATTTACCATGGGATTTACTCCCTGTAGCACGCCCTTGGTGCAGGCAGAAGGAGGATGGAAGGACCCTTAAATTCACATGCCAAGGTGGAACTCAACCCAAATCAAGATGAGGGATGAGCTTCCAGCACTGTTTCCATATGGAAAACAGGGAAAAAACGGGATGTTTGAACCAGATCCCATCCTGGTGGGACCATCCCGGGATACTCACGCTTCACCACAGCCAAGGCAAAGAGCAGCCCCCAAGCGACAAAGCTCAGAACCACCAGAACATAGAGGATGGCTATGGATGTGTCCCTGCTGCTCTGTGCTTTTCCACCCTTAGGCTCTGCTCCTGGAAGGAATCAGGTTGGAATCCCAGTTTTCCAGGTCTGGATCAGGCCTATGCCTCCGGAATGGGATAATGGCATCGGATAAGAGCAGCTCACCCTTTTGGGAAGGATGTGGAGACGCTGGTTTGCCTGCAAGGATGTAGACCCCTGATGGGAGGAAGGAAAGAGTCAGCAGTGATGGGGATGGGCTAAATCCTGCCCCGTGGAGGTGCTGGAAGTGGGTGCTACTGGTACCTCCTTTGCTCCTCTGGCTCTGCAGATCTTCATTGGCCACCGGTGGCTTGTGGCCACGATCCAGTTCCGATAGGGATACGTCATCGTAGTCATCCTCAAAGCTGTCCGGGGATCCTGAGTGAGGGAATATGGGGAAAAGTCGGGATGGGGGGGGGGGGAATTCTGTGCATGAAGAAACAGTTGGATTCTGTGGGAAGCAATTCCCCTTTCCCATCAGGTTGATCTGCAGCACCTCCAGCGGGATCTTCATGCCCTTTTCCCAATGTATAGATGGACGTATAGAGCTCCAGAATCATGGAATTGGGACGGGAAGGATCTTAAAGCCCATCCAGTTCCATGGGCAGGGACACCTTCCAATAGGGCAAGTTGCTCCAACCTGGCTTTGAACAGGGATGCTTCATCCAAACCTTCTCCATTCAACTCATCCCAGCGTCCCACTACCCTCACAGGGAAGAACTTCTCCCAGTATCCCATCAACTCTTCCCTCTTCCAATTGGATTCTGTTATTCCTCATCCCATCCTTCCATCCCTCCATCCCTCTCCTCTGGACCTGCTCTAACAGGTCCAACATCCCTCTTATGTTAGTTCCCCAGAGCTGGATACAGGACTACAGAGGGGCCTTACCCTTGGCCCCATTGATCTCCATGAGGTTCCCACCTCTCCAGGTCCCTCTGGATCCCATCCCTCCCCCCCAGCTTGGTGCCACCTCAATCGTGTTGAGGGTGCTGGATCCCATTGATCATGTCCCAAACAACGATGGACAATGATGGACCCAATTATGGACCCAAACAGGGACCCAAAGATGGACCCAACGATGGACAATGATGGACCCAACGATGGACCCAGTGATGGACCCAGTGATGGACCCAATGATGGACCCAGTGATGGAGCCAACGATGGACTCAGTGATGGACCCAACGATGAATCCAGCTATAAACCCAACAATGAACAACGATGGACCCAGTGATGGACCCAATGATGGACCCAGTGATGGACCCAAGGATGGACTCCAGCTATGAACCCAACAATGAACAATGATGGACCCAATGATTGACCCAACAATGGACCCAACGATGGACAATGATGGACAATGGGACCCAAAGATGGACCCAATGATGGACAATGATGGACCCAACGATGGACCCAACGATGGACCCAGTGATGGACCCAGTGATGGACCCAATGATGGACCCAGTGATGGAGCCAACGATGGACTCAGTGATGGACCCAACGATGAATCCAGCTATAAACCCAACAATGAACAACGATGGACCCAGTGATGGACTCAATGATGGACCCAGTGAGGGACCCAACGATGAATCCAGCTATGAACCCAACAATGAACATTGATGGACCCAATGATTGACCCAACAATGGACCCAACGATGGACAATGATGGACCCAACGATGGACCCAGTGATGGACCCAGTGATGGACCCAATGATGGACCCAGTGATAGAACCAACGATGGACTCAGTGATGGACCCAACGATGAATCCAGCTATGAACCCAACAATGAATCCAGCTATGAACCCAAAAATGAACAATGATGGACCCAATGATTGACCCAACAATGGACCCAACGATGGACAATGATGGACCCAATGATGGACCCAACGGTGGACAATGATGGGCTCAACGATGGACCCAATGATGGACCCAGTGATGGACCCAATGATAGACATGATGAACAATGATGGACAAAAATGGACACAATGATGGACAATGATGAACCCAATGATGGACAATGGTGGACCCAACGATGAACAACTATGAACCCAGAGATGACGCCAACGATGGACCCAATGATTGACCCAACGATGGACAATGATGAACCCAATGATGGACAACGATGGACCCAATGATGGACAACAATGGACCCAACGATGGACAATGATGAACCCAACGATGGACAACGATGAACCCAATGATGGACACTGATGAACACAATGATGGACAATGATGGACCCAACGATGGACAGTGATGAACCCATCGATGGGCAATGATGACCGCAATGATGGACAACGATGAACTCAACGATGGGCCCAACAATGGACCCAGCGACGGACCCAACACCAACCCCTGAGGACCACCCCTACTTGGCCATCCAGGGCGTCTGGGGCCTATTTGTTCCCATGTGAGAGAAGGACCCAAACCCCTGCGCACAGGAGACACGTTTGACCAACCAAGCCAAAAGCGAAGCTGGGTTTGGCCTTGGGGAGGCACCTGAGGGACTTCTGCTTTCCACTGAACACCCCACCCCCCCCCAAAGGGGATAACATCAGAGCTCACCCGGCCTGAAGTCCCCCGCGGGCATCATCTTCCCGGCACCGCAGTAAATTCCTGCCCAAAGCAGAGGGAAAAGGCCTTGAGGAGATGGGAGCATCCTCAGATCCAGCCCTAGACCTTCTGCCAAGCCTGGGGCTGGAGCCTGAATGTGGGGTTTGCACCTCAAATTGGGGCTAAACATGGAGGGTTTGGGGTCCTTGAGGGCAAAGCAGCACCCAAAGGGCTCCTGCACCTCAAATGGGGGGTAAACATGGAGGGTTTGGGGTCCTCGAGGGCAAAGCAGGACCCAAAGGGCTCCTGAGCACCCCAGATGTGTTTCACCCGGCTCCATGCTCATCAGCAGCATCTTTGGGTACCCCCAGACAGCTGCAAGGCCCGAAAACATGCTAAGAACACGGAAAGGACATGGAAATGGCATGGAAAGGACATGGAAAGGACATGGAAATGGCATGGAAAGGACATAGAAATTACACAGAAATTACACAGAAAAAGCATATAAAATACATGGAAAGGGCATGAAAATGACATGGAAAGGACACGGAAACAACACAAAAGGACATGGCAATGACACAGAAAAGACACGGAAAAGACATGGAAAGGACTTGTAGAAGACATGGAAGTGACACGGAAAAGACATGGAAAAGACATGGGAACAATATGGAAACGACACGTAAAGTTCACAGAAATGACACAGAGAGGACACAGAAAAGACACATAAAATACATGGAAAGGGCATGGAAACGACACAGAAATGACATGGGAGGGACATGCAATGAACACAGAAAAGATATTGGAAGGGTACGGTTAGGACACGTAAAAGACATGGAAAGGACATGGAAGCAACACGGAAACGACACGGAAAGCTCGATGAAATGACATGGAAAGGACATGGAAATGACAACGAAAAGACAGGGAAAGGACATGGAAATGACATGGAAAAGACACGGAAAAGACATGGAAATGACATGGAAAAGACATGTAAAATACATGGAAAGGACACAGAAAAGGCATGGAAAGGACCTGGCAGGGGCATGGAAAGGGGGGCTCCCCCCTCTGTACCTGCTGCCCGCACCAGGCGCTTGGGGGGCGCTGGGGGGGGCCCGAGCCAGTTCCCGTAGGTCTCGTGCTGGGCCATGGGTGCGGGAGGCGCTGCTCCCAACCCCCCCCCCCAACAAGCACCGCCCCCCCCCCCATCCCCGCCCCCCCTCCTTCCCCCCCCAACCCCCCCCCCTTCCCCCACAGCCGTTGGGCCCCGGTTTCGGTTCCCTTCTGAGCCCTGGGGCCACGTGAATGGGGGGGAGGGGGGGAGCAGGGTCCCGCAAGGTAGAGATGGGAATGGGACAAAGGGGTGGGAATTGGGGATGGAAGAAGGGGAATTGGGGTCAAAGAGTGGGATTTGGATAAAAGAGTGGGATTTGGGGGCAAAAATTGGGATTTGGATTAAAGAAGGGGATTTTGGGGCAAAAGAGTGGGATTTGGGAACCAAAGAGTGGGATTTGGGGGCAAAAATTGGGATTTGGATTAAAGAAGGGGATCTGGGGATAAAAGAGTGGGATTTGGGAACCAAAGAGTGGGATTTGGGGGCAAAAATCGGGATTTGGGTTAAAGAAGGGCATTTGGGGGCAAAAGAGCAGCATTAAGGGGGCAAAAGAGTGGGATTTGGGGGCAAAAATTGGGATTTGGATTAAAGAAGGGGATTTGGGGGCAAAAGAGTGGGATTTGGGGGCAAAAATTGGGATTTGGATTAAAGAAGGGGATCTAGGGATAAAAGAGTGGGATTTGGGGGCCAAAGAGTGGGATTTGGGAGCAAAATTTGGGATTTGGATTAAAGAAGGGGATCTGGGGATAAAAGAGTGGGATTTGGGACAATAGTTTGGGATTTGGGGATAAGAAGCGGGATTTGGGGATGGAGTGGAATTTGGTGGTAGCAGGGTGGGATTTGGGACCAATAGGGTGGGATTTGGAGAGACTGTGAGATTTGGGGATAAAAGGGTGGGATTTGGGGCCAGGAGGGTGAGATTTCAGGCCAAAAGGGTGGGATCTGGGGACAAAAGAGCGGGATTTGGGACCAACAGGGTGGGATTTGCATCCGCACCCAAAACACACTCCTGCCCCATCCATGTCTCTCCCCCTTTTGGGAATGGGGTTTCCCTTAAACCTTGGGAATAAAAGTGGGAATTCCACCCTTCCCCCCTCCACGGACCCAAGTTTGCCTCCAAACTATCAAAACTCTTTATTTATTCCTTTTCCTTCCCCTGATTCCCCACCAAATCCCTCATTTCCCCCCAAATTCCCCCAAAACAAGGGACTTTTGGGAAGCGGGAACCCATTTTTGGACACTTTTGTCCCCCAGATCCATGTTTTTCCTGGTTCCCCCCCCCCCCCATTTGGATCCTTTTGGAAGGGGGGGCATCAACAAGAGCGCTCGCAGATCCAAGCTTCCTTGTTGGAGCAGGACACATCATTCCAGCGCCCATTGGAGAAGATGGTGGCACAATCCTCCCCGTGCTCCCCCACGTTGTTGGGCTCGCCGCTATTCCAGAAGCTGGGAATGGGATGGGAAAGCAGGGGGGGACACATTAGTTTGGGTGGAAAACTCACCATTTGGGAGCATTTTAGGGTTGGGATTTGGGATGGAAGCACAAGGATAACACCCCCCCAAAAAGAACCTTCCCCCATTCCATTAAACACCATTTTGGTGCTTTGGGGGATGCAATTCCCATCCTTTTCCCATTTTCCTGCTGTTTAAGGTGGGAAAAGGCTGGGCTTGCTCCCAGCATCCCAAGAATGAGGAGATCCATGCGGAATAACCCCTTGGCTGGGGGAACCAAACAGCCCCTTCTATGGCCCCTTTTGGCCTCTTTTGCTGCCCAAAGCTCATTCCTGTGCTCTGGAAGTCCGAAAACGGAACGGGTGGAGGAGGAAGAGCCTGGATTTGGGTCTAAAAAGGGCGAAAAAGGGGAAAAAGCTGCTTTTTGGGGGGGGATTTCCCCCAAGATGGGACTCAAACCGTACGAGACGGAGAGGGAGCTCCCGTCCTCCCATTGCCAATGGCCTTCCCTGGAGGAATCCGTCAGCCCCAGCCAGAAGATCCGGTTCTCCATGACGTGATTTGCCAGGAATTTCTGCCAACGGGGTGGGAAAAGGGATTTCCAAGGGATTCCTGCCCATTCCAAGGGATTTCTGCCCATTCCAAGGGATTCCTGCCCATTCCAAGGGATTCCTGCCCATTCCAAGGGATTCCTGCCCATTCCAAGGGATTCCTGCCCATTCCAAGGGATTTCTGCCCATTCCAAGGGATTTCTGCCCATTCCAAGGGATTCCTGCCCATTCCAAGGGATTTCTGCCCATTCCAAGGGATTCCTGCCCATTCCAAGGGATTTCTGCCCATTCCAAGGGATTTCTGCCCATTCCAAGGGATTCCTGCCCATTCCAAGGGATTTCTGCCCATTCCAAGGGATTCCTGCCCATTCCAAGGGATTTCTGCCCTTCCCAGTGGATTCCTGCCCATTCTAATGGATTTCTGCCCATTTCAATGGGTTCCTGCCCATTCCAAGGGATTCCTGCCCATTCCAAGGGATTTCTGCCCTTCCCAGTGGATTCCTGCCCATTCTAATGGATTTCTGCCCATTTCAATGGGTTCCTGCCCATTCCAGGGGATTCCTGCCAATTCCAATGGGTTCCTGCCCATTCCAAGGCATTTCTGCCCTTTCAAAGGGATTCCTGCCCTTCCCAATGGATTCCTGCCCTTCCCAAGGGATTCCTGCCCTTCCCAATGGATTCCTGCCCTTCCCAAGGGATTCCTGCCCATTCCAAGGGATTTCTGCCCTTCCCAACGGATTCTTGCCCTTCCCAAGGGATTCCTGCCCTTTCCAAGGGATCCCTGCCCATTCCAAGGGATTTCTGCCCTTCCCAATGGATTCCTGCCCATTCCAGGGGCTTCCTGCCCATTCCAAGGGATTCCTGCCCTTCCCAAGAGATTCCTGCCCTTCCCAATGGATTCCTGCCCTTCCCAAGGGATTCCTGCTCTTCCCAAGGGATTCCTGCCCTTCCCAAGGGATTCCTGCCCTTCCCAAGGGATTCCTGCCCTCTCCACTCACATTCTCCTGCTCGGAGCTGACGGTGGCCAAGTGCCCATTGAGGTCCCCACAGAATTCCTTGGCTTCCAACCAGGATTTGGTGGTGCTGGAGAAGAAGTAGCAGGTCCTGGCGAACTGCAGCCACCCGGGGGGACACGTGGGGCACAGGATTCCTGCAGGAAGCGGGGTGGAAACATGGAAGCGATAGGAAAATCCATAGGGAATAACGGGGGGGGGGCGGTTCGGGCCTCACTCGAGAGGCCGCGCGTCTCCTCCAGCACCACGGAGAGCTCCCGCTTCACCTCCTCCAGCTCCTGCAGCACCGGCTCCAGCGCATTCCTTGCCTCTGGAATGGGTTAAAGGGATTAAAGGGATCTTGGGAGCTGGAAACACCCAAAACCTCCGTTTTCATCCCCTTTTCCCATCCCCATTCCCACCAGTTCTTCAATTCCGGCACTAAAAAACCCCTTTGGTTCCGTGTTTTCGCTTCGTTTCTCCAGGCTTCTTTCCCTTCAATATCCCTTGATCCCAAACTCACACGGGCTGGCTTCCTGCATTCCCAGCATCTTCCCCACCCCGCATTCCAGAGGGTTGGAAAATGGGGGAGGGGAAAGGCTAAATTTAAGGGTTTTCCATCAAAACCAAGCTCTCACCCAGGTCTTGGAGGCGACCCAAGAGCTCCTTCCCGCATCCCGCTTCACACTGCGCCATCCTCCCCTGCATCTTCTCCACCTCCTGAGACACTGGGAAGAGGGAAAACCCCCTTTGATCCCGTTTGGATGCTCCTTGCTCCCAGTATTTGGGATCCCAAAGGAATCCCACCCCCCGCCTCATTGCCTTTCCCTTGGAATACCATTGAGGAGTTGGATGCGAACGGCCTTGGCCTCCTTGGAGAGCTGCTTGTCTGCAATGGACACAAGAGAAGGATCCTCACAACAGGACCTGATGGGAAGCAGCTCCGGAGGGTTTCATTCCCACTGGGAAGCGCTGCATCCATGTGGATACCGAGGGTGCGGATCCTTTGGGAGGCGATCTCATACCGAGAGCGTGCTGGACCTGCGAGAGGTTGAGCCATGCCGCTGCGTGGCTGCTCTCATCCCGCATCCGAGCCTCTTCCAATGCTTCCCATGCCATGGATACTAAAGGAGAGAGAATCCCACTTGGAGAGCTCCACGGCCACGTTTTGCTCTATTTCGCGGCGTTTTGACCCAAAACGGGGCTCGGCCTCACCTCTCCGGAAGTTCACGATGCTCAGAGCCATGAGGAGCACAAAGGAGAGGGCCAGGAGCACGGAGAGCAAAGCAATGGCTCGATCAGGAAGCAAGGCTGGAGGGATGGATATTCCCGGGATGAGGCGATCCCAAAGAGCGTTCCCCAATGGACGCTCTCCTAAGGAAGAGCTCGAAGAGAGAAATCACCCCCAAACTACCCCTTGAGGGGCTCCATCCCCCTCTCCCTACCCCAGGACCCAATGGTGTCCATCCTCCTCCATCACCTCCTCCTTAAGGAGCCCAAAGCCTCCACTTCCCCATCTCGGGAAGCCCAAACCCATTCCCTCTTCCCGGTACCTCCTTTAGGGGCTTCCTGCTCCTGCTCCCCCAGCTCCAGCTCCTCCAAGGCGTCTCCCGGCTGCATCTCGGAGCCGTTCCCGTTGGATCCTGGCCCCTTTCTATGGGGCGGGGAGGAGGAGCCAGCGCATCCCAAGGAAGGGAAGGAAGCGGCTTGCACAATCCTGACCTTTCCGAGCACAGGAACGGGACCAAATCTGCTCACTCAGGACCTTTGGGGCTCCTGATGGCACCACCCCTTCCCTCTTCACCGTTGATCCAAAATCGCACCTTTTTGCCCCAAAAACCAAGGTGGAGAAGGGCCCTTTTTGGAGGTTTCATCCCCAAAATGATGTTCTCCAAAATTTAGGGGGGTTTTGGGGAAGTTTTTGGTGGTTTTGGGATCGTTTTTGCCTTCGGACCAGGAGAAAGCTCCCATTGTGGAAAGCCTCCAGTGCTGTAGGCTCTGATCCATGGAATCATGGAACGGGTTGGGTTGGGAAGGAGCTTGGGATCCTCCAGCTCCAGCCTGGAACGGACACTTCCCATTGGAAGAGGCCGCTCCAAGCCCCATCCAGCGTGGGATGCTTCATCCAATCCTTCTCCGTTCATCCCATCCCATCATCTCCAGGCTGAACTTCCCATCACCCCTTGTCCTATGGCTCCAGGCCATGGGGAAGGTCCCTCCAGTCCGTGTCTCCCTTGGGATCATCCCAACCCATGCACAAGGACCATGCCCTTGGTCCTTATTGATCCCCATTGAGATTCCCACCTCTCCAGGTCCCTCCGGATCCATTCCCAACCCTCCATCACTCGGTGCCATCGCAACCCGGTGTTGCCGTCATACCTTGCTTGGGAATGGGTTTGTGCCACACGTTGGATCCCTATGGAAAACCCCAAATTCCAACCCCAACAGCAGCTCCAAAATCGCCCCATTTTGGCCCATTCCCAGCCGGCACATCCGGACGTTCCCATTCAGCTTCCCCCCTTCGCTCCCATTTCCCCTTTCGCATCCCAGATTTAGGGGAAGTCAAGGCTCAGCTCGTGGTTTCTGGTGCCCTTTTGGGTCAAAACCCTGTGATTTTGGGTTCTGGTTGCCCTGGTGATGGGGGGGGGGGGGGGGGGGGTAGGGGTGTGGAAATGGTGCTTTTTTAAGTTGAAACAATGGAAAATCGGAATTAAAGTGAAGAAAGGGCTGTAAAATGCACCCCCAATGCCCCTCATGCCCATCCATAGGGATCTTATATCCCCATAGCCCATTGGGGGGATCCACAATGCTTCCCAACACCCTTATCCCTGTGGAATGGGGGCTCCAGTGTCCCTACACCACCCCCCCCCCCCCAGGGACCCCCATTCCCCCCAAGACCTGAACCCATCAGGAACAAGGGACCCATTTCTATGGGGCTGGGGTCCCTGTTAAGCCCATCCCTAGGGAACTGGGGACCCCCACACCCGGATCCCTATGGGAATGAGGGACATGCCCCTCATCACCCCAATATCCCACCCTATAGGGCACCATGGCCCCATATCCCACCCTATGGGGCACCAGGGCACCTTATCCCTATGGATATCCCTATGGGTCAGGGACCCCATCCCAGGTAACCCCCCCACCTTGGTACCCACCCTGCGTGGGTACCCTTACAGCTACTCAACACCCCATTGGTGGATGAACCCGCCAATCATCCCACGATAGCCAATCAGAGCGGCAAATCCGGCCCAGGAAGGCGGGACCAGACGCAGCGATGAACGCCGCTCCTATTGGCTTCCTCACCCTCTCCTCCGTCAGCGATTGGCTGCTTCTCCTATCAATCACACCCAGCCGAGGAGGCGGGGCTTGTTGCCTTCCGTGCCGCCCAGGCCCCAGCTCTCACATCCCATTGGCTGTTCTCCCCATCCATCCCCACCACCCTCGCCTCCCATTCGCTGCTCCCACCCTTCCTTGCATCTCATTGGCTCAGCCTCCTTTAGCAGCCGGCTCCGGGCTCGGACAGCAGCGATTGGCGGAGCGGGCGGGCTGAAGAACTAAAGCCGCGCGCTGATTGGCTGAGGGGCGGGGCTCGTCCGTCAATCACCACCCAATGAGGGCGGTGGCGGCGGTGCCCCCCCCCACGGCTCCCGTTCGGCTCCCGTTCGGCTCCCGTTCGGCTCCCGTTCGGCTCCCGTTCGGGCCCCCCCCCCCCCCCCGCCCTCGGATGCAGCGGGCGGTTGCCATGGCAACGCATCACAGGTAGGAGGGGCTGCGGGGGGGGGGGGCCCTTCCATTGTACCCTATGGGGGGGGGGCGATGTGGGGTGACCCCCCCCCATGGCTATAGGGAGAGGGGGTATGGGGGTAAAGCCCCCCCCATATCCCCGCTATGAATGGGGGGGGGGGGGGCTATAGGGTAAATACCCCCCCATCTATAGGCGGGGGGATATTAGGGGTACCTCCTATGGGGGGGGGCATTGGGATAACCCCCCCCCATCTATGAGGCAGCTTGGGGGGGTCTCCCCCCCCCGCCCATGGCTATAGATTAAATGGGGGACCCCCCCTTTTAGGGCTAAGGGGTGTGCTTCCATTGTGGGGCTCTATGGGGGGGGCCCATAGAGGGGAACATCGGGGGGTGTTCCCCCCCCCCTCTTGGTTGCTTTTTCCCTTTAAATCATAAGGTTTTGGTTAAAAAGCACCAAAAAGGGGGGGTGCCCCCCCCCCCCCCCCAAGCAGAGCCAAGCACCCCCTTCCCCACATCTATGGGGCAAAGGTTGGGTACTACCCCCCCCTCGCCCCCCCCATGATGGCTCCATCCAGGCACAGCCCCGGAGCGGTGCCTTTGTGTGCTTCCTGCTGCCTCCTTTTGGGTTGAAATCCCGGGATTTTGGCTCTGTTGGGATTCGGCAGCGAATCCCGGTTCCCCCCCCCCCAAAATCCCTGCTCCTTTTGGGATGTTTTTCCCCTTTTCCTGCTGCTTTGGGAGCCTTTGATACCTGCGGCATGGATGGAGGCACCCACACCCCCCCCCCTCCCCCGATTTGCATGGAAAATCCCAAAAAACACCAGAATTTTGGGCTCATTTCAGCCCATTTTGGACAAACATCCCGTTCTGCGCATCATTTTGGGATGTTTCCACCTTGAAATCCACATTTGGGGATGGAAGGGGTGGGATTTGGGCATCAAATTCCCCCTCATTTGGCCCCGTCAGAGCAGAATTCCTGATGTTTAACCTCATTTCCAAGCCCTTTTCCTGCTTTTCCCACCCTCTGGAATGCCGGTGGTTTCATCCGTGGGGTTTTCCCTCTTCCGGCTCCTTTTCCATGTTAAAAATGGGGTTTTCTGGCAAAACTGCGGGGGGGGATTTACTGGTTTGGGAGTGATTGGGGGGGGGGGGAATTCCTGCTTCCAGGAATTCCCTTTGGGAACACCAATCCCTGCTCTCCACTTGGCCTATTTCCCTACCTGACAGTGGCATTCCCAGCCCCATTCCCACCATTTGACCCCTCTGCACCTTGAATGATCCCTCCAAATTCTCTTCCCCATCCCCTTGGGATGAGCTCTTGGGAATCCTCAAGGAATGGCGGCCGCCATCTCCCTATCTCCATGCTGTAAATCCCATGGGATTGCAAACCCCACAGCTTCCTTTGGCTTCCCCTTATCCCATTCCCACCTGGATTTGGGCAGGGAGCAGCATCACCCTTTGGCCACCTCATTTTGGCCATTCCATGGTCATCCAATGGGAATTCTTCCTCCTTTTGGGGACATAGCTCCTGGTTTGGGAATGTTTTGTGGGAATACCTCATCTGTCTGGAGCCGCCTCTGGAATCCCTCTTTATCCAGCATTCCCAAACCGTCTATTTCCCATCCCATTCCTCCAATCCCAAACTGGGATTCCCTCCTCGGAGAGGCGTTTTTCCATGGGAAACTCCCAAAATGGGTTGTGAATCCATAGGGATTCCCCCTCTCATCCCACCCATTCCTTCCCAAAACGAGGGAATTTCGGGCTTCATTCCTGCTTTTCGGCTGTTTTGATCGGGGCCAACACAGGATGGGAAAACTGGGCATAAAATAACAAATTTGAGGGGATTTTAGGGAATTTTTTTAGGGCATTCCACGCTTTTCCACGGGCTGCCCACTGAGGGATGCTCCCACCTCGGTTCGGATCCATGAAAACAGCGGGATGAGGACAACTTGGTGCGGGGATGGGGATGCCCTTCACATTGGCCTTGCTTTTCCAGGTGAGATCCCAAGATCCCAGCTGGAATTCCACGATGGCATCGCCGGCCGTCAGCCCCGATTCCTCTTCCCATGAGGGCCTCTCCTCCATCCACTCGGCTCCCGCTTGTTCTCCCACTTCCGACTCGGAAAACCTCAGTCCCGATGAGCTGGAGCTGTTGGCAAAGCTGGAGGAGCAGAACCGGTGAGTTCCCAATGGAATTCCCTCCCCATTCCCACTCTTTTCCCAAGCGTTTCCCATCCCCGATGTCCCAAACCCGATGGGGATGGAATTCCCGGAGCTGCTTCCTCAAGCATCCCCAATGGGAAGCATCTCCAAGGTGGTTTTCCTCTATGGAAGCAGCTCTTCCCTATGGGAAAAGGGGATCTTGGGAAGGAGGTGGCTGTTTGGAAAGGAATCAATAAGGAATGGTCCCATTCCGGGGCTGGGATCCCAGCTGCTCCTATGGGAAAAGGAGGTTTGGAGGAGCCCCTTTGTCCTCCTTTGGGATGTTTTGTGGGATGGGGTTGATGGGATCGCCTCTTCTGTGGGAATACCTCCTTTTCTGGGATGGGATTGGGGGAATCTTCTCCTTGAGGCTGTTTTGTGGGAATATCGCAGTTTTGGGGATAGTTTTGCTGGAATCTCCTCTTCTTTGGGTTAATTTTTGGGGAATTCCTCCTTTTCTGGGATAATTTTGATGGAATCTCCTCTTCTTTGGGTTATTTTTGGGGGGAATTCCTCTGTTTCTGTGATGGTTTTGATGGAATCTCCTCTTCTTTGGGTTATTTTTGGGAATTCCTCCTTTTCTGGGATAATTTTTGATGGAACCTCCTCTTCTTTGGGTTATTTTTGAGAATTCCTCTTTTTCTGAAATGGTTTTGATGGAACCTCCTCTTCTTTGGGTCATTTTGTGGGAATTCCTCCATTTCTGGGATAATTTGGATGGAATCTCCTCTCCTTTGGGTTATTTTGGGGTATACTTCCATTTCTGGGATGGTTTTGATGGAATCTCCTCTTCTTTGGGTCGTTTTTTGGGAATTCCTCCATTTTGGGGATATTTTGCTGGAATCTCCTCTTCTTTGGGTTATTTTTGGGAATTCCTCCATTTCTGGGATAGCTTTTGATGGAACCTCCTCTTCTTTGCGTCATTTTGTGGAAATTCCTCCATTTCTGGGATAATTTTGCTGGAGTCTCCTCTTCTTTGGGTTATTTTTGGGAATCCCTCCATTTCTGGGATAATTTTTGCTGGACTCTCCTCTTCTTTGGGGTCATTTTGCGGCCCTTCTTTGGTGCCCTTCGGAGCCTCTTCGGCCCTATCCCCGCCTCCCGCAGGCTCCTGGAAGCCGACTCCAAATCCCTGCGCTCCATGAACGGCTCCCGTCGGAACAGCGGCTCCTCGCTGGTCTCCAGCTCCTCGGCCTCCTCCAACCTCAGCCACCTGGAAGAGGACACGTGGATCCTGTGGGGCCGCGTCGTCAACGAGTGGGACGAGTGGCGGAGGAAGAAGGAGAAGCTGCTGAAGGTCGGGAAGCGCCGGCGCCGATGCCGGTGCCGCCGCCACCGCGTCCCGCGGGGATGCTCACGCCGTCTCTCCCGCAGGAGCTCATCCGTAAAGGGATTCCCCATCACTTCCGAGCCATCGTGTGGCAGCTCCTGTGCAGCGCCACCGAGATGCCCGTCAAGAAGCAGTACTCGGAGCTGCTCAAGATGTCCTCGCCGTGCGAGAAGCTCATCCGCCGCGATATCGCCCGCACCTACCCGGAGCACGAGTTCTTCAAGGGCCAGGACAGCCTGGGCCAGGAAGTGCTCTTCAACGTCATGAAGGTAGCGGCCAGCTCCCTGCCTTTGGTGCTCCTTCTCTGCCATGGGGTCTGGTGGGACCCGCATCTGGAGCCGGCGCTTCCGGCCCCAAGGAGCTCGTTCCTAAAGCTTCGTTTTCCTCTTTGCTGGATTAAGGAACGATCGTTTTCCCATTGGGTTTCCCTCTGGATTAAGGAAGCAACACTCAATCGTTTTCCCATTGGGTTTCCCATTGGATTAAGGAACCAACACTCAGTAGTTTTCCCGTTGGGTTTCCCATTGGATTAAGGAAGCAACACTCAATCGTCTTCCCATTGGGTTTCCCATTGGATTAAGGAACCAACACTCAATAGTTTTCCCGTTGGGTTTTCCTTTGGATTAAGGAAGCACCACTCAGTCATTTTCCTGTTGGGTTTCCCTTTGGATTAAGGAACCAACACTCAATCATTTTCCCGTTGGGTTTCCCTTTGGATTAAGGAACCAACACTCAATAGTTTTCCCATTGGGTTTCCCTTTGGATTAAGGAACCAACACTCAATCATTTTCCCATTGAGTTTCCCTTTGGATTAAGGAAGCACCATTCAATCGTTTTCCTGTTGAGTTTCCCTCTGGATTAAGGAACCAACACTCAATCGTTTTCCCATTGGGTTTCCCTCTGGATTAAGGAGGCAATTGGGGCTTTGGGGATCTCATCCCAACAGGAGGTGATGTCAACCACAACCAAAGCTCTTTTCCAGCATGGAAATGGGCTTTCCATTGAGGATTAAGGCTTCCTGCCACAGGGAATGTGGAGGCCAGGGCCCTGCTCACACCCCCATTGATAGGGGAGATCAGGAATTAGGGAATCCTGGAATGAACCAGGTTGGGAAAGAGCTTCAAGCTCATCAGATCCAACCTTTATCCAAGCACTTCCAAGGCCTGGGATTCCCAGCCAACCTGGTGTCATCGGGATGCCCTCATCCGCATCAATGGAGCCCCCAAGCCCTGAGGGTGTCCCCAGGTGGATGTGACTCCATTCCCATGCCCCTCTGGACCAGAGCATCCAATGCTTTTCCTTCTTCCCAGGCCTATTCCCTGGTGGACCGCGAGGTCGGCTACTGCCAGGGCAGCGCCTTCATCGTGGGACTGCTGCTCATGCAGGTTTGTGGTGGGTTCCGAGGCTCCCTTCCCGCTCCTCCAGCACCGGATCCGGTGGGATTTGTGTCCTGTTGGATCTGCAGATGCCTGAGGAAGAGGCCTTCTGCGTGTTCGTGAGGCTGATGCAGGAATACCGGCTCCGGGAGCTCTTCAAGCCCAGCATGGCCGAGCTGGGGCTCTGCATCTTCCAGTTCGAGTCCCTGCTGCAGGTGGGCACCAGCGCCATGGGGCAGCCAAGGGGGGAGAGGCCTTGGGGACCATCCATGAGGTGCTCCATGGACCATGCATGAGATACCCAAAGGGGCCATCCATGAGGTGCTCCATGGACCATGCATGAGATACCCAAAGGGGCCATCTATGAGATGCTCCATGGACCATCTATGAGCCTATGGGCACCATGGGGACCATCCATGAGACCATCGGGACCATCTATGAGATGCTCCATGGGGACCATCCATGAGATGCTTCATGGACCGTGAATGAGATACCCAAAGGGACCATCCATGAGATGCTCCATGGACCATCTATGAGCCTATGGGCACCATGGGGACCCTACATGAGGCCATTGGGACCATTTATGAGATGCTCCATGGGGACCATCCGTGAGATGTTTCATGGACCATCTGTGAGCCTATGGGCACCGTGGGGACCATCCATGAGACCATCGGGACCATCTATGAGATGCTCCATGGGGACCATCCATGAGATGCTTCATGGACCATGCATGAGATACCCAAAGGGGCCATCTATGAGATGCTCCATGGACCATCTATGAGCCTATGGGCACCATGGGGACCATCCATGAGACCATCGGGACCATCTATGAGATGCTCCATGGGGACCATCCATGAGATGCTTCATGGACCGTGAATGAGATACCCAAAGGGACCATCCATGAGATGCTCCATGGACCATCTATGAGCCTATGGGCACCATGGGGACCCTACATGAGGCCATTGGGACCATTTATGAGATGCTCCATGGGGACCATCCGTGAGATGTTTCATGGACCATCTGTGAGCCTATGGGCACCGTGGGGACCATCCATGAGACCATCGGGACCATCTATGAGATGCTCCATGGGGACCATCCATGAGATGCTTCATGGACCATGCATGAGATACCCAAAGGGGCCATCCATGAGATGCTCCATGGACCATCTATGAGCCTATGGGCACCATGGGGCCATCCATGAGACCATTGGGACCATCTATGAGCCTATGGACACCATGGGGACCATCTATGAGACCATTGGGACCATCTATGAGATGCTCCACGGGGACCATCCATGAGATGCTTCATGGACCATCTGTGAGCCTATGGGGACCATGGGGTCCATACATGAGACCATTGGGACCATACATGAGACATCCAAAGGGACCATCCATGGGATGCTCCATGGACCATCTATGAGCCTATGGGCACCATGGGGACCTTCCATGAGATACCCAAAGGGACCATCCATGAGATGCCCCAAGGCCCATCCATGGATGCTCTCAGGAGCATCCATGACTCCTAAAGGGGGGCATCAATGGGACCCAAAGGACACCTTGGGGGTATCCATGAGAGCCCCATGAGATGCTCCATGGATCATCCATGGGCCTATGGGCACCATGGGGACCACAGTAGGGGTACTCATGGTGGTCTCATCTCATGGGGCATCACCAAGGCCCATCCACAAACCCTCCTGGAGCTGTCCAAGCCTCAGGAACCAGGATTGACCCTGGGAACCATCCCCCATTCCCGGTATTTCTCCATCCCCCATTCCCAGTTTTCTCCATCACCCGTTCCCACTATTCCTCCGTCCCCCATTGCCGGTATTCCTTCATGCCCCATCCTGATTTACCTCCATCCCCCATTCCCAGTTTCCTCCATCCCCCATTCCCAGTTTCCTCCATCCCCCATTCCCAGTTTCCTCCACCCACATTCCCAGTTTTCTCCACCCCCCATTCCCAGTTTCCTCCACCCCCCATTCCCAGTTTCCTCCACCCCCATTCCCAGTTTTCCTCCACCCCCATTCCCAGTTTCCTCCACCCCCATTCCCAGTTTCCTCCACCCCCATTCCCAGTTTCCTCCACCCCATTCCCAGTTTCCTCCACCCCCATTCCCAGTATTCCTCCATCCCCCATTCCCAGTTTCCTCCATCCCCCATTCCCGGTTTTCCTCCACCCCCCTTTCCCAGTTTCCTCCACCCCCATTCCCAGTTTACTCCATCTCCATTCCCAGTTTCCTCCACCCCCATTCCCAGTTTCCTCCACCCCTATTCCCAGTATTCCTCCATCCCCCATTCCCAGTTTCCTCCATCCCCCATTCCCAGTTTCCTCCACCCCCATTCCCAGTTTCCTCCACCCCCATTCCCAGTTTTCCTCCACCCCCATTCCCAGTTTCCTCCACCCCCATTCCCAGTTTTCCTCCATCCCCCATTCCCGGTTTTCCTCCATCCAGGAGCAGCTGCCGGAGCTGAACACCCACTTCCGCTCCCAGAGCTTCCTCACTTCCATGTACGCTTCCTCCTGGTTCCTCACCCTCTTCCTCACCACCTTCCCTTTGCCCGTGGCAACGCGCGTCTTCGACATCTTCATGGACGAGGTAATTCCCGAGGGAATCCCATCCCCACGGATCGGGGCTGTGCTCTCCTCCGGGATCCCCATGGAGCCTTCCCATAGGGGCTGGAGATCGTCTTCCGTGTGGGAATGGCGCTGCTGCAGTTCAACCAAGCCGAGCTGGTCCAGTTGGACATGGAGGGAATGTCCCAGGTCCGTGCTGGGTCCTTTGGGATGCGTTCATCCCAAATGGATCAACACATCCCAAATGCGATGGGTTTTCCAATGGGATTTGGTTTGGGGGCACATTCGGGATGGGTTTTCCAATGGGATTTGCTTTGGGACCCATTTGGGATGGGTTCGTCCAATGGGATTTGGTTGGGGGCACATTTGGGATGGGTTTGTCCAATGGGATTTGGCTTAGGGCCCATTTGGGATGGGTTTTCCAATGGGATTTGCTTTGGGGCCCATTTGGGATGGGTTCGTCCAATGGGATTTGGTTGGGGGCCCATTTGGGATGGGTTTGTCCAATGGGATTTGGCTTAGGGCCCATTTGGGATGGGTTTTCCAATGGGATTTGGTTTGGGGCCCATTTGGGATGGGTTTGTCCAATGGGATTTGGTTGGGGGCCCATTTGGGATGGGTTTGTCCAATGGGATTTGGTTGGGGGCCCATTTGGGATGGTTTTGTCCAATGGGATTTCATTTGGGGCCCATTTGGGATGGGTTTGTCCAATGGAATTTGGATTGCAGCCCATTTGGGATGGGTTTGTCCAATGGGATTTGGTTTGGGGGCATATTTGGGATGGGTTTGTCCAATGGGATTAGGTTTGGGGCCCATTTGGGATGGGTTTGGGGCGAGTTTCCTGCTATGGGTCCATGATCCATGGCTGTTCCCTGCATCTGCAGTACTTCCAGAAGGTGATCCCGCACCAGTTCGACAGTTGTCCGGATAAGCTCATCCTTAGGGCATTCCAGGTCAAATACAACGCCAAGAAGATGAAGAGGTGAGGCCATGGAATTGGGGTCCTGCAGGAGATGTGGGGTGCGGGGCAATGGGGTCTGGTCCCATCCCTGTATCCCAAACAGGCTGGAGAAGGAATACGCCAGCATCAAGAACAAGGAGATGGAGGAGCAGATCGAGATCAAGGTGAGGGACAGCCATGGAGCCCATTCCAGAGCTGTGGAACCCGTCAATGGAGCCCATTCCAGAGCCATGGAGCCCATCCCAGGGCCATGGAACCCATCCCAGGGCCATGGAACCCATCCCAGAGCCATGGAGCCCATCCCAGGGCTATGGAGCCCATCCCAGAGCCATGGAGCCCATCCCAGGGCCATGGAACCCATTCCAGAGCCATGGAACCCATCCCAATGAACCCATTCCAGAGCCATGGAACCCATCCCAATGAACCCATTCCAGAGCCATGGAACCCATTCCAGAGCCAAGCACCCTATCCCATGGAGCCCATTCCAGAGCCATGGAACCCATCCAGTGTAACCCATCCCAGAACCATGGAGCCCATCCCATGAAGTCCATCCCAGAGCCATGGAATACATTCCATAGAACCCATCCCAGAGCCATGGAGCCCATTCCAGAGCCATAGAACCCATCCCAGAACCATGGAACCCATCCTACAGCCAAGGAACCCATCCAGTGTAACCCATCCCAGAACCATGGAGCCCATCCCATGAAGTCCATCCCAGAGCCATGGAATACGCTCCATAGAGCCCATCCCAGAGCCATGGAGCCCATTCCAGAGCCAAGCAAACCATCCCATGGAACCCATCCCAGGGCCATCGAGCCCATCCCAGGGCCATGGAACCCATCCATGGAACCCATTCCAGAGCCATGAAACCCAACCATGGAACCCATTCCAGAGCCATGGAACCCATCCCATGGAGCCCATCCCAGAGCCATGGAACCCATCCATGGAACCCATCCCTGGAACCCATCCCAGAGCCATGGAACCCATCCATGGAACCCATCCCATGGAACCCATCCCATGGAACCCATCCCTGGAACCCATCCCAGAGGCATGGAGCCCCTCCATGTAACCCATCCCACAGCCATGGAACCCATCCATGGAACCCATCCCATGGAGCCCATCCATGGAACCCATTCCAGAGCCAAGGAACCCATCCATGGAACCCATCCCATGGAACCCATCCCACAGCCATGGAACCCATCCCTGGAACCCATCCATGGAGCCCATCCATGGAACCCATCCCATGGAACCCATCCATGGAGCCCATTCCAGAGCCAAGGAACCCATCCATGGAACCCTCTCCCATGGCCTCATCTCCCCGCTTTGTGTCCCCCCCTCCCCGCAGCGCCTGCGCACGGAGAACCGGCTCCTGAAGCAGCGCATCGAGACCCTGGAGAAGGTGAGGATCATGGGCAGCACCCCAAAAACACCCCCAAAAAACCCTAAAGTAAACCAAAACACCCTCAAAACACCCACAAAACACCCTAAAACCACCCCAAACCACCCCTAAAACACAAACACCCCTAAACCACCCCAAACCACTCCTAAAACAACCAAAACCACCCCAAAATGCCCCTAAAGCACCTCAAAACACTCTAAACCACCCCAAAACAACAACACTCCAAACCACCCCCAAACCACCCCAGACCACCCCAGAATACCCTAAAACACCCCAAAGCACCCTAAAGCACCCCAAAATACCCTGAAACACTCAACACACCCCAAAACACACCTAAAACACACCTATAACACCCCTAAAGCATGCAACACACCCCCAAAACACCATAGAACTCCCCAAAACACCCCTAAAATGCCCATATAACAGCCCCAAACCACCCCTGTAACACCCCCAAAACACCATAAAACACCCCAAAACACCATAGAACACCCCAAAACACCCCATAACACCCCCAAAACACCGTAAAACACTCCTATAGCAGCCCTAAAACACCCCTATAACACCCCCAAAACACCATAAAACACCCCAAACCACCCCTAAAACACCCCTATAGCACCCTTATAACACCCCCAAAACACCATAAAACACCCTTAAAACACCCCTATAACACCCCCAAAACACCATAAAACACCCCTAAAAAAAAACTAACACCCCAAAACACCCCTAAAACACCCCTATAACACCCTTATAACACCCCAAAACACCATAAAACACCCCAAAACACCCCTATAACAACCCCCAAACACCATAGACCACCCCAAACCACCCCTGTAACACCCTTATAACACCCCCAAAACACCATAAACCACCCCAAAACACCCCTATAACACCCTTATAACACCCCCAAAACGCCATAAAACACCCCCAAAACACCCCCAAACCACCCAAAACCACCTCAAACCCTCTTAGAACACTCACACCCCCCCACACACCCCCCCCCCGGAGCACCCATGGGTGCCCCCCCATCGCCTCCAGCTGCCCTCTTCCCTCCTCGCCCCCCCTCCCAGCGCTGTCCAGGTGCTGAAAGCCGCTCCTCCCGCCCGCTCCATGGCCGCTCCATGTGGAATCGTCAATGGGGAGGTGGGAAACGCTCGGCATCGGGATAGAACAGGAGGGAAAAGAGCAGGAATCCCATGGGAAACACACACCCCAAAAAAAATCCCTGGAATACCCCAGGAAAGGGCTGGGAATGCCGCGGGCGCCTCCACTTTACGGCTTCTCTCGCTGCTTCCGTCTCATTCCTTCTCTTTTCCCTCTTTTCCTTCTTTTCCCGGCCGTGCCGCAGGAGAGCGCGGCTCTCGCCGACCGCCTCATCCAGGTACTATCCCCAAGGAGGGATTTTCCTGCTTTTCCTGCTTGGTCGATGCCTTTTCCTCCCCCTTTTTTGGCTGCCTTGTTCCTGCTTTGGGGAATTGCGGCCCTTCTCCTGCTTTTTCCGGAGGCTCCCGCGGCTCTTCCCGGTTGGGGGAGGAGTGGGAATGGGGTTGGGTTTCAGTGGGAGGGGATGGGGGGAGAGTGGTCCCGAAGGTCCCCATGGGGCTGGTGGCTCCTTCTATAGGGCGTGACATTGGCCTCACTCCTCAGCCTTGGTGCCTCCTTCACCCCCTTGTCCCCATTGTTCCCTTTGTTCCCCTTGTGCCCATTGGCTCCCATTGCCCCCGTTCCCCCCATTGCCCCCGTTTTCCCCATTGCCCCCGTTACCCCAATTACCCCCATTGATATTACCCACATTACCTCTGTTACCCCCATTACCCCCATTGCCCCCTTTACCCCTATTGCCCCCATTACCCCCATTGCCACCTTTACCCCCATTACCCCCATTACCCTCATTGCCCCCATTACCCCTATTGCCCCCTTTATCCCCGTTGCACCCATTGCCCCCATTACCCCTATTGCCCCCTTTACCCCCATTGCACCCATTGCCCCCGTTACCCCTATTGCCCCTATTGCCCCCATTGCCCCCATTACCCTCATTGCCCCCATTACCCCCATTGCCTCATTACCCCCATTGCCCCCATTACCCCCTTTACCCCCATTACTCCCTTTACCCCTATTGCCCCCTTTACCCCCATTGCCCCCTTTACCCCATTGCCTCATTACCCCCATTGTCCCCATCACCCCCTTGCCCCCCTTACCTCTGGCAGGGTCAGGTGACGCGGGCGCAGGAGGCAGAGGAGAATTACATCATCAAGCGGGAGCTGGCTGTGGTGCGGCAGCGCTGCAGCAGCGCCACCGAGAGCCTGCAGCGCGCCCAGAGCACCATCCAGCAGCTGCAGCACCAGCAGGTGTGGACAGCGCCCCCTTGTGCTGGGGAGGCCTTGGGTTCGTGTTGGGTTCCCATTGGGTCCCTGTTGGGTTCCTGTTGGGTTCTTGTTGGGTTCCCATTGGGTCCCTGTTGGATCCCTGTTGGGTTCCTGTTGGGTTCTTGTTGGGTTCCCATTGGGTCCCTGTTGGGTCCCTGTTGGGTTCCTGTTGGGTTCTTGTTGGGTTCCTGGTGGGTTCCTGGTGGGTCCCTGGTGGGTCCCTGTTGGGTTCCTGTTGGGTTCCTGTTGGGTCCCTGTTGGGTTCCTGGTGGGTTCCTGGTGGATTCCTGTTGGGTTTATGTTGGGTTCCTGTTGGGTCCCTATTGGGTTCCTGTTGGGTTCTTGTTGGGTTCCTGTTCGGTCCCTGTTGGGTTCCTGTTGGGTCCCTGTTGGGTCCCTGTTGGGTCCCTGTTGGGTTCCTGTTGGGTCCCTGTTGGGTTCCTGTTGGGTTCCTGTTGGGTCCCTGTTGGGTTCCTGTTGGGTCCCTGTTGGGTTCCTGTTGGGTCCCTGTTGGGTCCCTGTTGGGTTCATGGTGGGTTCCTGGTGGATTCCTGTTGGGTTTATGTTGGGTTCCTGTTGGGTCCCTATTGGGTTCCTGTTGGGTTCTTGTTGGGTTCCTGTTGGGTTCCTGTTGGGTCCCTGTTGGGTTCCTGTTGGGTCCCTGTTGGGTTCCTGTTGGGTTCCTGTTGGGTCCCTGTTGGGTTCCTGTTGGGTTCCTGTTGGGTTCTTGGTGGGTTCCTGTTGGGTTCCTCTTGTGTCCCTGTTCTGTTTTTGCTGTGTCCCTGCTCTATCCCTGTTCTATCCCTTTTGTGTCCCTGTTGTTGTGTCTCTCTTCTATCCCTGTTCTATCCCTCTTCTACCCCCGTTCTATCCCCTTTCTATCCCTCTTGTATCCCCATTCTACCCCCGTTGTACCCCCATTTTCTCCCCATTCTATCCCCGTTCTACCCCCGTTCTACCCCCGTTCTATCCCCCTTCTATCCCCATTCTATCCCCGTTCTACCCCCGTTCTACCCCCGTTCTATCCCCCTTCTATCCCCATTCTATCCCCGTTCTATCCCTGTTCTATCCCTCTTCTATCCCCGTTCTACCCCCGTTCTATCCCCATTCTATCCCCGTTCTATCCCCATTCTATCCCCGTTCTATCCCCATTCTATCCCCGTTCTATCCCCATTCTATCCCCGTTCTATCTCCGTTCTATCCCTCTTCTATCCCCGTTCTACCCCTCTTCTATCCCCGTTCTATCCCTGTTCTATCCCTGCTGTCTCCCTGTTCTATCCCTGTTCTATCCCCGTTCTATCCCCGTTCTATCCCCATTCTGTCCCCGTTCTATCCCCGTTCTACCCCCGTTCTATCCCCATTCTATCCCCGTTCTATCCCTCTTCTATCCCCGTTCTATCCCTCTTCTATCCCTCTTCTATCCCTGCTGTATCCCCGTTCTATCCCCATTCTATCCCCGTTCTATCTCCGTTCTATCTCCGTTCTATCCCTCTTCTATCCCCATTCTATCCCTCTTCTATCCCTCTTCTATCCCTCTTCTATCCCTGCTGTCTCCCTGTTCTATCCCCGTTCTATCCCCGTTCTACCCCCGTTCTGTCCCCATCCTATCCCCGTTCTATCCCTCTTCTATCCCTGTTCTATCCCTGCTGTCTCCCTGTTCTATCCCTGTTCTATCCCTCTTCTATTCCCGTTCTATCCCTGCTCTATCCCTCTTCTATCCCAGGGGAACCCGCGGCTGAGCGAGGCCTTCGTGACGCAGCTCGAGGCGGAGCTGGAGCAGTCGCGGCTCCGGGAGAGCCAGACCCGAGGAGCCCTCAAGGAGATGCAGGACCGGGTCCTCCACATGGAGCAGGTGCTGGGACCTGGGTGCCCTGGCAGGGACCCATGGGTGGCCCTTGGTGGGGGGGGGGGGGTGGCAAGGGTGCCCTGTGGCACCCAGTGCTCCTGCGCGCAGTGACCTCATCCTGGGCGGTCTGCAGCGCTGTCCCCATGGTGTCCCATTGGTGTCCCATGGTGACCCCATGCTGTCCCCATTGATGTCCCCATTGATGTCCCCATGCTGTCCCCATTGATGTCCCCATGCTGTCCCCATTGATGTCCCCATTGATGTCCCATTGATGTCCCCATCGATGTCCCATTGATGTCCCCATGATGTCCCATTGATGTCCCCATGCTGTCCCATTGATGTCCCCATTGATGTCCCCATCGATGTCCCATCGATGTCCCATTGATGTCCCCATTGCTGTCCCCATTGATGTCCCATCGATGTCCCATTGATGTCCCATCGATGTCCCCATCGATGTCCCATCAATGTCCCATTGATGTCCCCATTGCTGTCCCCATTGATGTCCCATTGATGTCCCCATGCTGTCCCATCGATGTCCCATTGATGTCCCCATTGATGTCCCCATTGATGTCCCCATGCTGTCCCATTGATGTCCCATCGATGTCCCCATCGATGTCCCATCAATGTCCCATTGATGTCCCCATGATGTCCCCATGCTGTCCCATTGATGTCCCCATTGATGTCCCATCAATGTCCCATCAATGTCCCATTGATGTCCCCATTGCTGTCCCCATGCTGTCCCATCGATGTCCCATTGATGTCCCCATTGATGTCCCCATGCTGTCCCATTGATGTCCCCATTGATGTCCCCATCGATGTCCCCATTGATGTCCCCATTGATGTCCCCATGCTGTCCCATTGATGTCCCCATGCTGTCCCATTGATGTCCCCATTGATGTCCCATCGATGTCCCCATTGATGTCCCCATTGATGTCCCCATTGATGTCCCATCGATGTCCCCATTGATGTCCCCATTGATGTCCCATCGATGTCCCATCGATGTCCCCATTGATGTCCCCATTGATGTCCCATTGATGTCCCATTGATGTCCCCATTGATGTCCCCATGCTGTCCCCATGCTGTCCCATCAATGTCCCCATCGATGTCCCATCAATGTCCCATTGATGTCCCCATGATGTCCCCATGCTGTCCCATTGATGTCCCCATTGATGTCCCATCGATGTCCCATCAATGTCCCATTGATGTCCCCATTGCTGTCCCCATTGATGTCCCATTGATGTCCCCATGCTGTCCCATTGATGTCCCCATGCTGTCCCATTGATGTCCCCATTGATGTCCCATCGATGTCCCCATTGATGTCCCCATTGATGTCCCCATTGATGTCCCCATTGATGTCCCATCGATGTCCCATCGATGTCCCCATTGATGTCCCCATTGATGTCCCATCGATGTCCCATCGATGTCCCCATTGATGTCCCATCGATGTCCCATCGATGTCCCATTGATGTCCCCATTGCTGTCCCCATTGATGTCCCATTGATGTCCCCATGCTGTCCCATTGATGTCCCCATGCTGTCCCATTGATGTCCCCATTGATGTCCCATCGATGTCCCCATTGATGTCCCCATTGATGTCCCCATTGATGTCCCCATTGATGTCCCATCGATGTCCCATCGATGTCCCCATTGATGTCCCCATTGATGTCCCATCGATGTCCCATCGATGTCCCCATTGATGTCCCCATTGATGTCCCATCGATGTCCCATTGATGTCCCCATTGATGTCCCATCGATGTCCCCATGCTGTCCCATCGATGTCCCATCGATGTCCCCATTGATGTCCCATCGATGTCCCCTCTGTCCCCGCAGCAGAGCAGTTCAGTGCGGCTACAGGAGGAGCTCCAGGATCAGCTCCAGGGGCAGCTCCAGGAGCACCTGGAGCAGGAGGAGCTGCAGGAGGAGCTGCAAGAGGAGCTGCAGGAGGAGCTGCAAGAGGAGCTGCAGGAGGAGCTGCAGGAGGAGCTGCAGGAGGAGCTGCAAGAGGAGCTGCAGGAGGAGCTGCAAGAGGAGCTGCAGGAGGAGCTGCAGGAGGAGCTGCAAGAGGAGCTGCAGGAGGAGCTGCAGGAGGAGCTGCAGGAGGAGCTGCAGGAGGAGCTGCAAGAGGAGCTGCAGGAGGAGCTGCAGGAGGAGCTGCAGGAGGAGCTGCAGGAGGAGCTGCAGGAGGAGCTGCAAGAGGAGCTGCAAGAGGAGCTGCAAGGGAAGCTGCAGGAGGAGCTGCGGGAGGAGCTGCAGGAGGAGCTGCAGGAGCTGCGGGCGCTGCGTGAGGCCAAGGCCCTCGGGTCCCTCTCGGAGCTGCAGCCGCAGGTGGAGCTCAGGGATAGCAGCATGGGGGTGCCAGTGGGTGCGATGGGTGCCAATGGGTGACAATGGGTGTTATTGGTGCCTATGGGTGCTATGGGTGCTGGTGGGTGCCAATGGGTGCTATGTGTGGTAATGGGTGCCAGTGGGTGCCAATGGATTCTATGGGTGCTGATGGGTGCCAATGAGTGCTATGGGTGCTGATGGGTGCAATGGGTGCTGTGGATGCACGGGGGTGCTGTGGATGCGCATGGGTGCTGTGGGTGCCAATGGGTGCTAATGGATGCTATGGGTGCTATGGGTGCTGTAGATGCGTATGGGTGCTGTGGGTGCCTATGGGTGCTGATGGGTGCCCATGGGTGTTATGGGTACTGGTGGGTGCTATGGGTGCTATGTGTGGCAATGAATGCCAGTGGGTGCTAATGGGGGGTGCCAATGGGTTCTATGGGTGCTGACGGGTGCCAATGCATGCTGTGGGTGCTAATGGGTGCTATGGGTGCTGATAGGTGCCCATGGGTGTTATGGGTGTTGATGGGTGCTACTGGTGCTGATGGGTGACAATGGGTACCAATGGGTGCTAATGGCTGCCAATGGATTCTATGGGTGCTGATGGGTGCCAATGGATTCTGTGGGTGCTGATGGGTTCCAATAGGTGCCAATGCATGCTATGGGTGCCAATTGGTGCTGTTGATGCTGATGGGTGCCAATGGGTGATAATGGGGGGTGTCAATGGGTTCTATGGGTGCTGATGGGTGCCAATAGGTGCCAATGCGTGCTATGGGTGTCAATGGGTTCTATGGGTGCTGATGGATGCCAATAGGTGCCAATGTGTGCTATGGGTGCCAATGGGTGCTATGAGTGCTGATAAGTGCCCATGGGTGTTACGGGTGCTGATGGGTGCTGTTGGTGCTGGTGGGTGCCAATGGGTGCTAATGGGTGCCAATGGATTCTGTGGGTGCTGATGGGTGCTGTGGATGCTCATGGGTGCTGTGGGTGCCAATGGGTGCTGATGGGTGCCCATGGGTGTTACGGGTGCCCATGGGTGCTATGGGTGCTATGTGTGGCAATGAGTACCAATGGGTGCTAATGGGGGGTGCCAATGGGTGCTATGGGTGCTGATGGGTGCCAGTTGTGCTGTGGGTGCTGATGGGTGCCAATGGGTGCTATGGGTGCTAATGGATGCTGTGGGTGCTGACAGGTGCTAATGGGTGCTATGGATGCTATGGGTACTGATGGGTGCCAGTGGGTACTATGGGTTCTGATGGGTGCCAATTGGTGCTGTGGGTTCTGATGGGTGCTGATGGGTGCCAGTGGGTGCTATGGGCACTGATGGGTCCCAATGGGTGCTATAGGTGCTGATGGCTGCTGTGAGTTCTGACGGCTGCTGTGGGTGCCAGTGGGTGCTATGGGCACTGATGGGTGCCAATGGGTGCTGCGGGTACTGATGGGTGCCAATGGGTGCTGCGGGTGCCAATGGGTGCTATGGGCACTGATGGGTGCCAATGGGTGCTGCGGGTACTGATGGGTGCCAATGGGTGCTGCGTGTGCCCATGGGTGCTATGAGCCCTGATGGGTGCCAGTGGGCGCTGTGGATACTGATGGGTGCCAGTGGGTGCTGGGGGTGCTGATGGGTGCCAGTGGGTGCTCTGGGCTCTGATGGGTGCTGTGGGTGCTGCAGGAACCCAACGCGCTGCAGGAGGCGCAGGTGGAGCTGCGGGAGCTGCGGCAGCGGGTGCTGCACCTCGAGAGCCAGGTAGAGCCTCACTGGGGTGCTGGGTGCAGGGGTGCTGGGTCCCTGGGTGCTAAACTGAGGGCTCTGGGTCCATGGGTGCTGGGTCCATGGGTGCTCAATGCTGGGTCCATGGGTGCTCAACTCGGGGCAGTGGGTGCTGGGTCCATGGGTGATGAAAGGGGGCTCTGAGTCCATGGGTGCTGGGTCCATGGGTGATGAACGGGGCTCTGCGTCCATGGGTGCTGGGTCTGTGGGTGCTTAGTTGGGGGCTGTGGGTCCATGGGTGCTGGGTCCATGGGTGCTCAATGCTGGGTCCATGGGTTCTGTGTCTGTGGGTGCTCAACTGGGGGCTTTGGGTGGTGAGTGCTGGGTCCATAGGTGCTGGGTGCATGAGAGCTAGGTGCAGGGGTGCTGGGTGCAGGGGTGCTGGGTCTGTGGGTGCTAAACTGAGGGCTCTGGGTCCATGGGTGCTGGGCCTATGGGTGCTGGGTCCGTGGGTGCTGAACTGGGGCTCTGGGTCCATGGGTGCTGGGTCCATGGGTGCTCAATGCTGGGTCCATGGGTGCTCAACTCTGGGCAATGGGTGCTGGGTCCATGGGTGCTGAACAGGGGCTCTGGGTCCATGGGTGCTGGGTCCATGGGTGCTGAACTGGGGCTCTGGGTCCATGGGTGCTGGGTCCATGGGTGCTGAACAGGGGCTCTGGGTCCATGGGTGCTGGGTCCATGGGTGCTGAACTGGGGCTCTGGGTCCATGGGTGCTGAACTGGGGCTCTGGGTCCATGGGTGCTGGGTCCATGGGTGCTGAACTGGGGCTGTGGGTCCATGGGTGCTGGGTCCATGGGTGCTGGGTCCATGGGTGCTGAACAGGGGCTCTGGGTCCATGGGTGCTGAACAGGGGCTCTGGGTCCATGGGTGCTGGGTCCATGAGTGCTGGGTCCATGGGTGCTGACGCTGTCTCCCATAGGGTGCTCTGCAGCCACTGGAGGTTCAGCACCGGCACCAGGAGCTGCAGAGCCAGGTACGGGGACACCCCCATGGTGGGTGACACTGGGGTACTATTGGGTGCCATTGGGTGACACTGGGATGCCATTGGGTGCCATTGGGTGACCCTGGGGTACTATTGGGTGCCATTGGGTGACACTGGGGTGCCATTGGATGCCGTTGGGTGACATTGGGGTACTATTGGGTGCCATTGGGTGACACTGGGATGCCATTGGGTACCATTGGGTGACACTGGGGTACTATTGGGTGCCATTGGGTGACACTGGGGTACTATTGGGTGCCATTGTGTGCCATTGGGTGACCCTGGGATGCCATTGGTTGCCATTGGGTGACCCTGGGATACTATTGGGTGCCATTGGGTGACCCTGGGGTACTATTGGGTGCCATTGGGTGCCACTGGGGTGCCATTGGATGCCGTTGGGTGACATTGGGGTACTATTGGGTACCATTGGGTGACACTGGGGTACTATTGGGTGCCATTGGGTGACACTGGGGTACTATTGGGTGCCATTGTGTGCCATTGGGTGACACTGGGGTGCTATTGGGTGCCATTGGGTGACACTGGGGTACTATTGGGTGCCATTGGGTGCCATTGGGTGACACTGGGGTACTATCGGGTGCCGTTGGGTGACCCTGGGATGCCATTGGGTGACCCTGGGGTACTATTGGGTGCCATTGGGTGCCATTGGGTGCCGTTGGGTGACCCTGGGGTGCTATTGGGTGCCATTGGGTGACACTGGGATGCCATTGGATGCCCATAGGGTGACCCTGGGATGCCATTGGGTGCCATTGGGTGACACTGTGGTGCCATTGGGTGACACTGGGGTACTATCGGGTGCCGTTGGGTGACCCTGGGATGCCATTGGGTGACCCTGGGGTACTATTGGGTGCCATTGAGTGCCATTGGGTGCCGTTGGGTGACCCTGGGGTGCTATTGGGTGCCATTGGGTGACACTGGGATGCCATTGGATGCCATAGGGTGACCCTGGGATGCCATTGGGTGCCATTGGGTGACCCTGGGGTACTATTGGGTGCCATTGGGTGACATTGGGGTGCCATTGGGTGACCCCGGGGTACTATTGGGTGCCGTTGGGGGCCTCAGAGCCTGCAGCAGGGGCTGCACGAGGGGAGCAACGCGGCGGCAATGGAGGAGCTGCGGCAACGAGTGAGGGAGCTGGAACTGCAGGTGTGGGAATGGGATGGGGTGTGGGGTGTGGGGTGTGGGAATGGGATGGGGTGGTGTGGGGTGTGGGGTATGGGGTATGGGATATGGGGTATGGGATATGGGGTATGGGGTATGGGGTATGGGATATGGGATATGGGATATGGGGTATGGGGTATGGGATATGGGGTGTGGGATATGGGGTATGGGATATGGGGTATGGGATATGGGATATGGGGTATGGGATATGGGGTATGGGGTATGGGATATGGGGTGTGGGATATGGGATATGGGGTATGGGATATGGGATATGGGATATGGGGTATGGGATATGGGATATGGGGTATGGGATATGGGGTATGGGGTATGGGATATGGGGTGTGGGATATGGGATATGGGGTGTGGGATATGGGGTATGGGATATGGGATATGGGGTGTGGGATATGGGGTATGGGGTATGGGATATGGGGTATGGGGTGTGGGATATGGGGTACAGGGTATGGGATATGGGGTATGGGGTGTGGGATATGGGGTATGGGGTGTGGGGTATGGGGTATGGGGTGTAGGGTGTGGGATGTGGGGTGTGGGATATGGGGTAAGGGATATGGGATATGGGGTATGGGGTGTGGGAGATGGGGTGTGGGATATGGGACATGGGATGTGTGGGCGCTGTCTCTGGGGGTGCACCCATGGGTGCTCTGGTTCCCAGCAGGAGCAGCGGCTGCTCCAGGGGCAGCTCAAGCGCTCGGAAGCGGCTCAGAGCATCCGGCACCTGCAGGAGCACATCCGGGAGCTCAAGGCCGAGGTGAGGCCCCCCCAGCACCCATGGGTGTCAGTGGGACCAGGAACCAGCACCCATGGGTGTCAATGGGACCCGGAACCAGCACCCATGGGTGTCAATGTGACCCAGGACCAGCACCCATGGGTGTCAATGGGACCCGGAACCAGCACCCATGGGTGTCAATGGGACCCGGGACCAGCACCCATGGGTGTCAATGGGACCCGGAACCAGCACCCATGGGTGTCAATGGGACCCGGAACCAGCACCCATGGGTGTCAATGGGACCCGGAACCAGCACCCATGGGTGTCAATGGGACCCCATGGAGTAAAAAGCACCCATGGGTGACAGCACCTCTCCTCCCTGCCAATTCTCTGCTGCCCCATATCCCCCCTTATCCCCCCCTTCATCCCCCCCTCAAACCCCAATGCCCCCCTCATCTCTCCCCTTATCCCCCCGTCCCCCCTCATCCCCCCACTCCCCCCATCCCCCCTCACCCCCCCTCACCCCCCCATCCCCCCCCATCCCCCCCTTATCCTCCCCCCTCATCCCCCCCCTTATCCCCCAAATCCCCCCATCCCCCCATGCACCCCCTCATCTCCCCCCTCACCCCCCCATCCCCCCCTTATCCTCCCCCCTCATCCCCCCATCTCCCCTTTATCATCCCCCATCCCCCCTCATCCCCCCCCATCCCCCCCATCCCCCCCTCCCCTCCCCCCCATTTCTCCCCTAGATCCGGATGCTCCGGGGGTCGCTGCCGTTCGGTGCCGTGGGGCTGGGCCCCCCCCTGGACTCCTCGGGCTCTTCCGATGAGGAGCCCCCCCCCTTCCCCCTCCGGGCCCTGGGGCACTTGGGGGGCAGCAGCGACAGCGACCACGAGGGGGCGCCCCCCGCACCCTGAGCCCCAGAGAGGGGGTGGGGCTCCAGCCCCATAGAGCCCGGGGGCAGCCAATGGGGCAGCGAGGAGCACCCATGGGTCCCGTGGCACCCAAGGAGCACCCAGGGAGCCTGTGGCGCACAAGGGGCACCCATAGGACACTAAGGAGCACCCTCCTGTGGCACCCAAGGAGCACCCATGGAGCCCATAGGACACTGGGGAGCACCCATGGGTCCTGTGGCACCCAAGCGGCACCCATAGGACACTGAGGAGCACCCATGGACCCTGTGGCACCCAAGGAGCACCCATGGAGCCATAGGACACTGGGGAGCACCCATGGGTCCTGTGGCACCCAAGCGGCACCCATGGAGCCCATAGGACACTGGGGAGCACCTATGGGTCCTGTGGCACCCAAGGGAGACCCATAGGACACTGAGGAGCACCCTCCTGTGGCACCCAAGGAGCACCCATAGGACACTGAGGAGCACCCATGGGTCCTATGGCACCCAAGGAGCACCCATGGCACCCATAGGAAATTGAGGAGGCCACCCTCCTGTGGCACCCAAGGGGCACCCATAGGACACTGAGGAGCACCTTCCTGTGGCACCCAAGGAGCACCCATGGAGCCCATAGGACACTGAGGAGCACCCATGGGTCCTCTGGCACCCAAGGAGCACCCATGGCACCCATAGGACACTGAGGAGCACCCATGGACCCTGTGGCACCCAAGGGGCACCCATGGTGCCCGTAGGACACTGAGGAGCACCCATAGGTCCTATGGCACCCAAGGAGCACCCATGGCACCCATAGGACACTGAGGAGCACCCATGGACCCTGTGGCACCCAAGGAGCACCCATGGTACCCATAGGACACTGAGGAGCACCCATGGGTCCTATGGCACTCAGGGGGGACCCATGGCGCCCATAGGACACTGAGGAGCACCCATGGGTCCTATGGCACCCAAGGAGCACCCATGGAGCCTGTGGCACCCAAAGGGCACCCGTGGACCCAGGGGACACTGAGGAGCGCACATGGACTCTATGGCACCCAAGGGGCACCCATGGACCCCAGAGGACCCAGGAGACACCAAGGGGCACCCATGGACCCTGTGGCACCCAAAGGGCACCCATGGACCCCAGAGGACACTGAGGAGCACCCATGGGCCATATGGCACCCAGGGGACACCCCTGGGCTCCATGGCACCCAGAGGACACCGAGGAGCACCCATAGGCCCCATGGCACCCAAGGGACACCCAGGGACCCTATAGGACCTAGGGGACACCAAGGAGCACCCATGGGCCTCATGGCACTGAAGGGACAATGGGGGACACTAAGGGACACCCATGGCACCCAGAGGACCCTGAGGAGCACCCATGGGCCCCATGGCACCCAAGGGACCCCAAGGAGCACCCATGGGCCCCAAGGAGCACCCAAGGGGTACCCATGGCACCCAGAGGACCCTGAGGAGCACCCATGGGCCCCATGGCACCCAAAGGACCCCAAGGAGCACCCATGGGCCCCGTGGCACCCAAGGGGTACCCAAGGACCGTATAGCACCCAGGGGACACTCGTGGCACCCAGAGGACACTGGGGGGCACCCATGGGCCCCATAGCACCCAAGGGGCACCCAATGGCACCCAAGGGGATCCAGCCCCATCCGGATCCATCCCCCCCCATCCTGGGATCCAAGTTGGGG